TTTGTGGAACTGGGGATTGAACTCAGGCCCTTGCGCTTGCCAGGGAAGCGCTTATTCTACTGAGCCATCTCCCTGGCCCCTATATTCTGCTCTTAACCTCAAAAAAGAAAAAAAAGAAAGAGAAAAAGAAAAAAAAAATGGGTGAATCCTAAAACATACTAAGTGAAAGGAACTAGACACAAAAATGCCACATTTGCATGATCATGTAGAACACGAAAACCCAGAGACAGAATATAGGTTAGTGGTTGCCAGGAGTGGTAAATGATCAGTAATTGCTAAGATGTAGGTATTTTCCCCCCACTGGAGAGATGAAAATGTTTTGGGATCAAAGCACAAATTTTATATTTTTGATGTACATACCTAAACTTACCAAGTTATACTTTTTTTAAGGGTGAATTTTATGGGATGTGAATTATAGTCCAACTTTTAATAAAGTCTCTGCCTCTTTTCCTGTCACTGCCAATCAATGGGCATCTCTTCAGACCACTGGTACAGGCACAGCAAGACAGAGACAGAAGAAAGCCTTCCTACCAGACGTGGAAGCATGAAGTTGGATGCCCCGCTGCTACCACTAAGATCGCCCCCACCACATACACACGGCCCAGGGCGTGAGAGGTAATAAGAAGTGCCACGCCGAGGCTGGACCCGAGAACGTTCTCCTGGGCTCTGAGCGCTGGACTCAGCTATCAGAGGTCACAGTATGCTCCCCCCACACCCATCAGGAGCTGGACCCACCAGGACCTGGAGGGAGAACTGGCTTGGGCTTATTATCAGTACACTGACAATGGTACAAATCATACTACAGACACTGTCCCTGGGCCAGAAGGAGAGGGCCAAGCTGACTCCTGAGAAGAGATTTTAAACAAAAATTGATCAAAGAGGGGGCCTGGCCCTAGCTCAGTTCTTTAAGTGGCTGCTTCCACAAAGCTGTCAGGCTCAGATGGCTGTGGTTCAATCCCCACAACTCAAGCCAGCCAAACCTGCCCTGAAGGCATTCAGAGCAAAAAAAAAAAAATCCTTCTGCCTTTATTAAAAAAAAAAAAAGAAATTAAAATTAAAATAACACTGAAATTAAATGTGATGCCAGAAAATGGTTATCATCAAGTCAAAAAAAAAAAAAGATCAAAGAAAATTCCAAAGAAACACAAGAAAGGAAAGTACAATGAACACTCAAATCAGTAGTCTTCTGGAGGAGCAATTCCAGCAGGGCTAGCTTCTTACCTGCATTGCACCAAGACCAGGACAGTGTGACCAAGGAGATGGCTAGGTGCTAGAGGGCAAGGAGCTGGAGTCCTGTCTGAGGAAAACCAGGGCCAAGAAAGGCAGTTAAATCCTCTCCTTCCGGGCTTAGCACTTGTAACTCAAGTACTTAATATTCTTTTCTGTTTTGTTTCTTGGGGGTACCAGGGATCAAATTCAGGACTTCATGTTTACCAGGCAGGTGCTATGCCACTGAGCTAAATCCTCAGTGTTTATTATTCTGTGAAAATAAAATAAAAACTATAAAGTCCTTTCCTGTATTGTCAGTCACCATTCTTCCATAAGTGATAGATTTTAAGAGTGGATATCATACAAACTCACTCTACTAGCAAAACAAATGTTAAAACACACATTTAAGTGGTTACAAATAGTAAAGAATAAGCTGTAAATTTAATCAAGAAAAAATACAAAAAAAGAGAAACAGCTAGGTATGGCAGTGCATGCCTATAATCCCAGCTCCTGGAGAGGCTGGGATGTGAAAACTAAAACCCCAGGTCAGCTGAGACAACAGCAAGACTGTGACCAGAAAAAAAGTGGTTGTGGGAGATATTCCTTCTAATTTCCAAATAAAATTTGCTTTTCCGCATTCTTTTTAAAAGTTTTTTTAATCTTTACTTATTTGGCACAGGGTCTAGCTACGCAGTCCAGACTCATAGTGATCCTCCTGTCTCAGTCTCCCCAGCACTGGGATTACAGGCATGTGCCACCATGCCTGGGGTTCCCAGGCCAGCATGGCAGGTGGTACTGGGGATCAGTATCGGGATCCTGCGCTTGCTAGGCAGGCGCTCAGACCACCGAGCTATCTCCCCAGCCCAGGAAAACAGGATTTGCAAGTGATTAGAATATGAGGTATTGAGGACTGACTCATATATCAAAGATTCAGGTTTGAAATTTAGAACTATCATACAGTCCCAGCATCGTGACACTTGGGGAGTTCTGCAGCCCTAATTTATTACCGTGGGGCTGGACATACATTGGGTGGGCAGGAGCCTGATACCTCCCTACAGAAGGCAGAAGGGGTACTGAGATGGCATTTGCTGGGGCTTGAGGGTTAGCTCAGTTGTTTAAGTACCTGCTTGGGCGAACCCAGCAAGGCCCAGCAGACTGCAGTTCAATCCCCAGCGCCATATGCCTTACCAGATGTGCCCTCAAGGTAGCCTGGCCCAGCCAAAAAGAAAAGAAAGAGAAAGCGATGGTGTTTGCATGTGCACGTTAAGGGAAGACCAGTGCTAGGGAAGCAGAGGTGGAGGCTGCCAACAGTTTGTTTATCCTCTCCAATAGGTCCTATTACTCTAGTGGGAGTACCATACTCCAAGGTGAATGTTACCATTATCTATTCTGGAAGGGATAAAGGTTTTTTTTTTTGATAAAGTATTTTTAATTAGAAATACTTCACCTAAAAAGATACATGCTAATATGCATATATATAAAAAAATAAAAAATAAAAATAAAAAGATACATGCTATTTCTAAGTGAGAAAGTTTGGGGAAAAAATTAAGTTTTTTTTTTTTAAATTAAAAAAAAAGTTGAAATGAAAGACATGTACAGAAAAGGTAGCAACTATGATGGAAGCACTTTACACAATTTACGTGAATATAATCAGCTCATCTACACACTATCTTCAGTCAGTGGTAGCTTCCCTATGGAATTGGGACTTGATAAAAAGGAGACTACTATCAAAGGAGAAAGGACCAGGCCGGCCTCGGGCACACACCTGTAATCCCAGCATGCTGGGAGGCTAAAACAATCACAAGTCCAAGCCCAGCCTAGGCAACTTAGCAAGACTGTTTCAACAAAAATTTTCAAAGGCTGGCTGGGGATGTAGCTCAGTATGGAGGCCTTGGGTTCAGTCCCCAGGGCTCCAAAAGAAGGAAAGAGGAAGAAGTTGGGGGAATAGAAAGGAGGTGTAAGGGAGGGTAACGGGGGCTGGCCGTGATCAAAACATATTATATGTAAGAAAATGCCACAATAAAAACTCAATTTTGTAAGATTAATATGTACTAATATAGGAAACGTGACTTGGTTTCATGATGCCATAGCAGAGTGAACTCGGGATATCAGCCTTCCAAAATTACAGTTCTGTTGTTCTGTTCTGAGACAGAATCGCGCTGCGAAGTTGAGGCTGGCCTGCATTCACTATGGAGCCCAGGCTGGCCTGGTACTCATGATGATCCTCCTGCCTCAGCCTCCCAAGTGCACGGATCTAAAGATCATGAATATGCAAGTCAAGCCCAATGTTAGAAAACACAACACCAATAACAGGAAAATCTCCCATTTCCATTGTGTTTCACTAATTGCAAAGCATTTTCCTATCCATTGGTCTACTCTACAAACTACACTCAGCTTCTCTCTGGTCATACCTGTCAGAACTCACCTCCTACCCTCATCCTCTGAACAAAGGAATGTCCCCAAAGCCTGGAGGCCACATACCTGGGTGTACTTACGGAAAAACACCCCTTGCACCTTCCCAAAAACTTCGTAGTCCACTGATACCAAGGTGTCCCCTTCCGCCATGCTCAAACCTGTGCAAGACCAGACAAACGAAATTAAAGGGCGCCTCCTTCCTGCCCAATCCTGAGGCCCAAAGACCCGCGACCGGCTCGGTCCTTCGCCACGGCGACCCCTCCCTCAACCTGCAAGGCTCGCGAACCCCGAGAGGAAACGGAGGCGGGACGCTGGCGCGCGGCGAGGGGGCCCCGCGTCGGCGCACGCACGCGGGCCGTTAGCTCCGCACCGACCCCCCGCACGGCCGCCGGCACCCCGCACGACCGCCGGCCCCGCTCCTCCCTCTCATTCCTCTTCCCCGCCCGACGCCCTCCCACTAGCACCTCAGCACATCCGCACTGCCGGGCGCGCCGTGGGGTCGCCTCTAGTCGCCCGCCGTCGCCCAGCGTGCGCGCCCACACAGCACACCACCACACCCACCACCCTGCGGCCGCGCAAGACTGGCGCTCCCGGAAGTTTACAGCGCAGCTCGTCCTTCGACGTCTCACATGCCCATCACCTGTGCTGACCAATCAGAGTTTAGCGTCGGCTCCGAGCCCGCCCAGAGGGTGGGATTTGAGGATGCGGTTGGTCCCGCGGAGGAATAAATTCGGCGTTGCGGGCACGTGTCCGAGGTCTGGCTCGGCCTCCCGAGCTCGAGCCCGGGCGGCGCTGCAGTTACTAAGCGCACCCCCTTCGCGTTTTCTCCTGGGGAGATGCGTATGTTCGATACAGGTACACATTCAATGAATACTGACTGACAGACTGCTGTATACCAGTCACTATTCTAGGCGCCATCGAACATCAGTGGGCACAACAGAAGCCTGCCCTACAGGGGCTTAAATTCTGGAGGTGGGAAACAGGGAACATGAAATATCAAAAATAAAGGTGAGGGACACAGCTCAGTGATAGCACATTCGCCTACCATGTGTGAAGCTCAAGGTTCGGTCAATCCCCAACACCAAATAAACAAACGAGTAGGGCACATACAAACTTTCTGTCCTTTTTCTTTTAGTTCCTTTCTGATATTGGAGCATGCCTACACTGGACTTGCTAGCAGGAAGGATATATACACAAGAAATACCAGTGCGGTTATTTGTCCTAAGCTTCTAGAAGTTGCCCATCAGTTTACCTTACTAAGAAAATGCTAAATAATAAATAAGGAAAGGGGGCCGGGGAGATGGCTCAGTGGAATAAGTGCTTCCCTGGCAAGCGCAAGGGCCTGAGTTCAATCCCCAGTTCTGCTAAATAAATAAATAAATAAATAAGGAAAGGAAGGGGAGAGAGAGCGAGAGAAAGATAGGCAAAACATACACACACACACACACACACACACACACGCAAATAACTGATAGATCTAAAATTTCAACTGAACCAATCAGTCTAAGCCAAATGACCACATTTATTTTTGGGAAAAGGGAACTGTCAAAGGGTATTTGTGAGTGAGGATTGCTAAAATTAAAGTTCATTCATAGATATTTGAATCGCGAACTCATAAGAATGTGTGTGAAGGAATATGATGTTTATTGTTCCTCTTTGAATTTTTTGTATATGTTACATTCCTTCATAAGGCTTCAAATGTGAATATGCCAGATTGGCAGACTTGGTAAAGTGAGATGGTTCGGCAGAGGCCGCCCTGGACATTCCATCACTGCCTCATTCTCCGTAACAGAGTAGGACCCAGGTCAGAGACAGGCGTAAATCTGTAACGCAGGGAGTTGGGGGAGGGGAACTAGACTGCATGGTGCGCTTGGAAATATTTGAAAGCAACATTGAACAATATACTAAGTTAACTGGAATTTCTTTCTGTAAGTTTGTTTTAAAAACTAGTTTCTCTATAGACTTAAAAATATATTGAATAGGGGCTTGCCGGCTAGCTCAGTTGTTTAAGTGCCTGCATGGGCAAACCCAGGCAGGCTTGCGGGACCGAGTTCGATCCCCAGCTCCACGTGCCACACCGCACCTACCTTAAGGCAGCCCGAGCCA